AGTAGTGGCAGTAAGAGTAATAGCAGCAATCGTAGTGGCAGTAGCAGTAATACGAGTAATAGAGGTAGTAGCAGTTGTAGTAGTAGTAGTAGTAGTAGAAGTAGTAGTAGTAGTAGTAGAAGAAATACGAATATTAATAATAGTACTGGGATTAGTAGTACGCGCAACATGAATAGTAGTAGTGGTAATAATCAGAATACTAGTTGTAGTAGTAGTAGTAGTCGTAGTAGTAGTAGTAGTAGTAGTAGTAGTAGTAGTAGTAGTAGTAGTAGTAGTAGTAGTGATAGTAGTAGTAGTTCAAAACCGTAGTAGTAGTAGTAGTAGCAGTAGCAGTAGTAGTAGTAGCAGTAGTAAAAGTAGTACTAGTAGTAGTAGTAGTAGTAGTAGTAGTAGTAGTAGTAGTAGTAGTAGAAGTAGTAGTAGTAGTAGTGGTGGTGGTGGTAGTAGTGGTAGTAGTAGTAGTAGTAGTAGTAGTAGTAGTAGTAATAGTAGTAGTAGTAGTAGTAGTAGTAGTACTAGTCACTACCCTGCAGCTTCGCCTTCCCTCCTCATTCTTCGCCTCCTCGTCCTCCTCCTTCTCCCCCGCCTTCTCCTCCTCCTCGTTAGGAATGAGACGAGGAGGAGCACGAGGAGGACGATGAGGAGGAGCAGGAGCAGGAGAAGGAGGAGGAGGAGGAGCAGGAGGAAGACCAGGGACGAGTTTTCAGGGAAACAGGGGGAGGTGGGAACAAAACTGAAGACCTACTGCGGCTGATCACTGCCAGCGTCATGGTCATCACCGCGTCGAGTCCTCTCTGCATGTTACCTTCCTGGCGAGGTTCTGGCCACTTCGCCGCCGCCTGGACAAACCGCGTGCCACAGACACATCGCCCCGCAGCGAAGGCCCCGCTCGCGCCGTGGAGAGCCGCTGCCCCCCCGCTGCCCCCCCGCTACGGGGGGGCTGCCCCCCCGCCGTTGCCGTTTAGGGTTTAGGGTTTAGGGTCCCACCGCGCCTTGGGCGCCGCCCTGCCGGGCACCCAAAGCGCGGTGGGACCCGACGGATGGCCTCTTCCAGCGGCGCCTCGCGCCGACCCGGCGGGGGAAGAGGCTGCAGCCGACGCAACACCGACGGCGCCTCGAGAGACAAGGGCGGTGGTGCCCTCTGCTCCCGCCTAGGGGGCCACACGCGAACCCTACCCCTACCCCCTACGATTTCCGAGGGGGAGGGTGGGGTTCACTTCGCTCGGGAGCTCCCGAGCGAAGTGAACCCCCCCTCTCCCCTTCAGAAATCGTGGGGGGTAGGGGTAGGGTTCGCGTGTGGCCCCTTACCACCTGCATTCCGCCCCGTCCGGTGCAAAACAGCAGCACCATGACGCAAAGTACTGCCAGCCCTGTTACCCAGGCTTGCCGTTGTCCATACGATTCCATGGCCGTCAGCACCCTGGTCGACACCGTCCGCTTGCGCCCAGGTTGATGCCTCCAACTGCAAACTAGCCACTCACACAACACCTCGATCCCGTGCAATGCTGCAATCAATGGTGAATTCACTGCCAAACCTGTCCCCGGACCGCCCGCTCGCCAGAACTGCACACGCGGCACCCTGGACCGCCACCGCGCTCCCGTCAGCTCACAGAGCAATAATCGCTGTCGCCCGTGCACGACGTCGGACCCGGCCATGACGCCACGTGTGCGACATCTGGTGGCATAGGGCGGGTGCCCCCGAATTCGGCATGTTCTGCAACAGGCCAGAAGGGCAGAGCGAGATAGGAATGGAGCAGCAGAAGCAGGAGGATGTGGAAGGCGAGGAAAAAAAGTGGTCGACGAGAACAACCCTGGCTGGCAGGTCATGATGCTGCGCCCCCTGGCCTGGCATCTAACCCTAAACTGACCTTAGAAGCGAGCAGATCGATAAGCAATCGCCAGCGCTGTCAGAAGGCGGGAGACTCGTCGACCAGGGCCCGAGCTAAACAGTGTTTTTCGTTATCGGTTTGTCCTCGTTTTCCTTTGCTCTGCCTTCGTTCTACCTTTGCTGCGAAACGAAATCAAAACGAAAACGGTCCACGAAGTCGCCAAAACACGGTTTAGCTCGAGCCCAGTCGTGGAGGGAGACTCGTCGACGGTGCCCGCTCCCTGAGATCCTGGCGTTGCACTTTTTGACGGGCGTGTTTGCTCAACTTCGGGCCCCAGGACCCTCGCAGAGCGATCCGGCTCAAAATTTGAACCAGAAAGATGGGGTCCAGGGCTCCGCTCGTGATTTCTTGCGGTGTTGCTTTTTTATCAGCGTCGGATCTCAGGACTGCTCGGTCACCAACCACCGCCGTACAAGCCAAACACCAATCGCTGGCTCCGGGACAGAAGTGTTGCCTCCACCCCCTCGCAGCAGGTGGGCGATCGTCTTCCAGCTACCTCGCATCCTGCCGCGGAAGATCCGCGCACGCCCTGTGGAAGCCTGCGCCCGAGAGCACTCCTCCGGCTTATGTCATACAGTAGGGGCCCGACCACAAGAAACTTTCCACAAGAAACCCAACCCTGAGACCCCAGGACGTCTGTTGGCTTTTGGTGTGGGAGCGTCACGCTTTCAATAGCGAAACCATCGAAAAACAAGAAACCCAGGGCACCCTAGAGGCAGGCAGGGTGCTTCTTGCCATGGGTCCCCACTGTACACGCCGTGCGCCCGCACTTCACCGTCTACGTGATCTGCGGAGTGCAAGCCGGCCATCTGACAGCCCGTCGCGGTGCCACGCTCTTCGACCGTCGCTTGGCCCATCGCTGTACCACCCCTCGCCCCGCTCGTAGTAAGCGCTCGTCTGGGGAGAGTTGGCGAACTCCTGTTCCTCCTCCTCCTCCTCCTCCTGATGCTGCCGCCGCTCCCTCTCATCCTCGTCCTCCTCCTCATCATTATTCCTCCCTTCCTCTTCAGCTCAACTTAACTCAGGGCACCTGGGATGGGGCGTCGTTGGGGCCAACCTCCTGGGCCAGGAAGGGGCACATGCAATGTCTCCCAAATGGGGCGCCCATCAGTGGGCCACTCCTCCTCCTCCTCCTCCGACGACGACGACGACGACGACGACGACGAATCCCGCCTCATCCTCATATTCCTCCTCCTCCGCCTCCTCTGACTCGTGGTCGTCGTCGTCGTCGTCGTCATCATCATCATCATCATAATCATCATCATAATCATCATCAGCATCATCATCATCGTCATCATCATCATCATCAAAACATCATCATCATCATCATCATCATCATCATCATCATCATCATCATCATCATCATCATCATCATCATAATCATCATCATCATCAACCTAATCATCATCAGCAGCAGCATCATCATCAACATCATGATCCTCCTCCTCCTCCGCATCATCATCATCATCATCGTCATCTTCATCATCATCACCACCATCATCATTATTACCATCATCATCATCAGATTCAACATCATCATCTTCATCATCATCAGCATCATGATCCTCCTCCTCAACATCATTACCATCATAAGCAACATCATCATCAGTATCATCAGCAGCAGCATCATCAGCATCAGCATCATCACCACCATCATTATCAACATCGTTATCAGCAGCAGCATCAGCATCAGCATCAGCATCAGCATCAGCATCACCATCAGCACCAGCAGCATGATCAATGCCATTGTTATCATCATCAGCAGCAGGAGCATCAGCATCATCATCATCAGGATCATCATGACCATCATGATGAGCAATATCATCATCAGCAGCAGCAGCATCATCATCACCCTCAGCATCGTCATCAAAAGCAGCATGATCATCATCCTCATCAACATCAACATCATCATCAGCAGCATCATCACCACCATCATTATCAGCATCGTCATCAGCAGCAGCAGCATCATGATCATCATCGTCGTCAGCAGCAGCATCATCATGATCAACATCATCATCAGCAGCAGCATCATCCTCAGCCTCAGCATCATCCTCCACATCCTCATCGGCCGCCTGATCCTCGTCATCCTCGTGCCGACGCTCTGACTGCTCCTCCGACTCTTCGCCCTCGCACCCGATCCTGTGTATGGGGTTAGAGTACAAAGGTACAGAACCCCTGATCCGCTGGTAGAGGAAAGGAGGGAAAGATGGCTATCTTTTCCTCCTGCACGATCAAAGGTCTGATCGATCTAATCCAATACCTGAGCCCAAACGGCCAGGCGCAGGAGAGGTGAGGATAAGGAGTATATATGAGGGTATTATACGGGTCCTATGCACAGATCCTGCCTCTCCCCCCTCGCCCTCCTGCTCCTGCACGGTGGGTCGCCTCCCTCCGGCACTCGCGCCGCCGCCGCGGCCTGCGCGGCTGCGGCCGCCTGCGCCGCGGCCTGCACCTCGCGGCCGGCCGCGGGCCCAGCGGTCTCGAGCCGGCGAGTCCGCAGGGCCCCAGGCCTCCCAAATGTCTTAGAAATACTCCAGATTTCGTAATAAAGGGAGGGGGGTCTCATTTCGGGGGGGGTCTGGGGACGATGTTTTGGAGGGTTCTCCCACGGGAGGGGGGTCTGAAATGGCTTGTCTTGGAGGGTCCAGACCCCCTCCCTTTTATTACGAGATCTGGAGTACCATTTCTTCCCCCGCATCAACCACGCAAGTCGAACCATGACCTCATGCTCAATGCACCAGCACAGCGGGGCCGCGCCACAGCGTGAGCGGGAGGACCGCATGGTGGCTGGCGAATTGCCGAGCCCACGAGCCCGTCAGAATTCAAAACCACGCCGTGAGACGCCTGGGAGGCAAGGCAGGCGGTAGAGGCGGAGCAGAGGAGGCCGAGGAGGGAGTGAGGGTAGCTCAGCCGCCAACATTTCGGCTGTCGCACACGCCGACTGCTTTAAACTCTGGCCCCTGCCAAAAAAAATAAAGCACTGGTCACAGACGGAGGCGCAGAAGGAGGAGCAAATGTTTCAAAAATCTAATCATTTTCAATTATGGGAGTTCTGAACTCCCGAGTTAGCAGATAATTGTGAAGCGCCTTCAGTGGCTGGACGCGGAAACATCAAAAGGGGCCCAGAAAGGACGACCGCCAGGCGGCGCTGTCGATCACGGCCGACTCGGCGACAGGCAGAGGCTTCCCAGGATGCTTCCAGCAGGCCGGCGCGTCGAAAACTGGTGGGAAAATGCCCGCCCACGCCACGCCGTCGGGCGGGCATGCTCGGCCAGGAGGAGGGGGAGCTCGCCAGAGTCGACCACAGCGGGCCAGCTTTCGGGCCCTCCTCTCCTCCTCCTCCCCGGTAAGCCTGCCCAGTCGGAGGTGCCAGATGCTTTGTCCGCGCCGCACCGACCGAGGGGCGCCCCCGAGCAAGGGGGGGGGGGCGCGGCGACGCGGCAGCCCTCTGGCAGTGCGCAGGCTGCGGCCCCCCCCGGGTGAGAACGAAGAGCCGGTCGTCCAGGCGGGGACAGGGCCCGGGGCGTGCCTCCCGGCGCCGAAGCCGAAGGCGAAGCTGCCGTCGCCCTGCATCTCGTGGCGCAGGGGGCACGGGCTCTCCGACGCCCTATAGTGGCTCCAGGCGAGGGACGATGCCCCCCCAATGACCGACCCGTGCTCCCGGGCCAATCGGCCCAGGAGAGGCCGCCTCCGGCGCAGGGACGTCGGGGAGAGCTCCCACAAGGACAGAGAAAGCTCCGTGCGCTCCCACGCCGACAGGCCCAGGAATGCGCACATGGCGAAAGGACAAGGGAAATCGTTGCTCCCAAACTCGGGCTCGCTAGCAGGGATCTGGTGGACCCTCGTCAGCGCCAACCCCCGCTGCGAGCGTCTGGAGACTAAGCTTAGGTCGGGCATTTCCTCCTACAGGCGGACTTCGGACAAAAATTAAAGGTCGTCTCAAAAGACTCAAAAAAGAGTCCCAAAACAAATGATCGAAAAATCGTCCCCTCACATTTTTTACTATTTTGGAATACTCCTCCTGTGGAGGGACAGGCCCGACTCAAGACTAGGGCAACGCCGTGCTCGGGCCACGCCGGGGGGCGCGGCCAGCGCCCGGGCGCGGCGAGCGCCCCCCCCCTACTCTCGCAGGAGGGCCCGGAGCTCGGCCAGGGATCGCGCCTGCTGCTGCAGCGCCCGGTCCTGACTACCTACCAGACCACCCCAACCCAACCCGAAGACCCGAATTTGACCCGAATTTCGGGTTGGGGGGGGTACGGCTTCCATGTGTTTTTTCAGCGTTCCCCGACCCCCCCCCCACTGGAAATCGAGGATAAATTTGGGCCTTCGGGTTGGGTTGGGGTGGTTTGGTGGGTGGTGATGTCCTGCTGCTGCCACGCGGCCCTGAACTCGGCGACGAGCATCTGCAGGTCAAAGTTGGTGGCGGGCCCCTTCAGCTGCATGCAGCCGCGCACGAAGGTCTCGATCTCGACCTGCCCGTCGTCGTCCGCGGCGTCGGACATGGTGTCAAAGAACTCCATGACGTTGTGCGTCTGCAGCTGGAGCAGGGTGAGCAGCCTCGGAATGTGTCTCCTTCGAAGGCCGTCTTCAAACTGGTCCCTGGTCAGCTTCCCCGAGAAGTCGGTGTCGACTTGACAGCATAGACTCTTGAGCTCCTCTGCATGGGCCTTTTCCCTGCGAGCGTGCTCTATGGCACGCGCCTCGGAATTCGGCGACAGGGTCTCCATCGCAGATTCCACGAAAATTCCAGTCCGCCGACCCCTTGTGGGTCTCTAGGCGTGTGAGATAGTTCCCCCCCCCTAACCCCCCCCCTGGGACCCCAAACCGGAGATTCGACCCCCCCCCCCCCCGGGCCCACCACGAGCGCATCACGGGGCTCTTTTGGGCCCAAAAGGGGATCAAGACGGGCCAAGAAGGCCCCAAGACTCCTCCAAGACGGCTCACGAGAGCTCCGAGGCGCCAAACGAGCGCTCCCAGACGCCCAAGATGCCCCCAAGACGAGCCTAGAGGCCTCCAAGACGGCCCAAGAGGCCTCCAAGAGCAGTCCTCAGAAGGGCCGAAGCGCCGAAAATCGTCAAATTCCTATGGGAAAACGTACATTTTGATCATATACTACTTGTCGGCCTTCACGGCGTTGAAGACGGTCCCAGAGCACCCCAAGACCGCCCCGAGAGGCCCCCAAGAGGCGCCCAAGTCGGCCCAAGAGGGCGCCAAGACGGCCCAAGAGGCCCCCAAGACAGCCCAAGAGGGCCCCAAGACGGCCCCAAAAGGTGCCCAAGAGGGGGAGCCCGAACCGACAATTCGAGCCTTCCGCCCCAAGACGGCCCCAGAAGGCCACAAGAGGCCCCAAGAGGCCCCCAAGACGCCCACAAGAGGCCCCAAGAGGCCCCCAAGAGGCTACAAAACGGCCTCAAAACGGCCCCCAAGAGGCTTCGAAACTGCCTCCAAGAGTCCCGCGAGAAGCCCCCCAAGAGATCCCAGGGCCTCGAGATGACCCCAAGCGGATTCCACATGGCCCCAAGAGAGGTCATTATGGACCCCATACACGACTCCCCAGCCCGATTCAAGCGAGCCGGCAAGACCGCCAAGATGAGGGGTCGGCGGATGTGGCGTAAGCCTCTAGAATAATTATGTTGATCAGCGCGAACTGCACGAAAGCGACAAAAATCAAGAATATTAAACTCCCCGTCGCGCCGGTCTCCTCGATCACTCGGTATGCGAGGGACCAGTCCTCGCCCCCTGTGGACGCCATGTAGAGAGTTAAAGTCGACTCTAAGACAGTGCCGAACAGGCCGTCGTAGTCCGCATGATCCCCGTCCGTGCTCTTCACGTGTGACGTGATGATCTGCATTAGGAAGAGCCCGAAAAGAATGTATACTGTCATGAGCATCACCAAGCTCCAGAAAAAGCTGGAAAAGGAACCGCGCAGACAGACAAGAAACGCTCGCAGCTTATCAAGCTTGGCCATGATTCTGATGGCGCGGATCGCCTTCCCGAACTTCAAGAGCCGAAAGACTCTCAAGAAGCCAGTGAAATAAGAATCGGCGAGCAATGAGATGAAACCCGAAATCACCAAAACGAGGTCAAACGTATTGAGCTTCCAGCCCGTCCTCCAGAAAAAAAACTGCCTGTAGACGACGAGCTTGAGGGCCAACTCCACAGAGTAGAATATCTGAAAGACCCACTCGAAAATTTGCACAAAAGAGCTGACTGCGCCATCGTTTACCATCTCGTCGTCGGCAGCGTACACCATGAACGCACAATTCGTAAATATGATGATGCAGACGACAACCTCGAAAGTTTTGCTGTCCACAAATCGAGCGAGCCGACCAGTGCGCTCTGGCTCCTGGACGCTCAACAGCCATACCCACTTCTTGTACCACCAGTTCAAGTACGGCTGGTAGCCGCTATGGTCGCTGTCCGTGTCAATGTCGTCGTCGGGGGTCCTTTTCACGGACTTCACGTACGAAGAGAACTGGCTCTTCGCGTTGCGGAGCGTCTCGTCGGCCGACCCCTGCCCCTGTGCTGTGACCTTCGGGCTCTCCTTCGTGCTCGAGCGCCACGACGGAGCGCCGGGCTGCGTCGCCTCGACCGCGCCAGCGGGAGCATCCTGGAGCCCCCCTGCTGGCTGCTGCCGCCTCTCTGCCGGGCCGACCACGCCGGGCGCGCCCTCCCGGGAGGCCACCCTGCAGGCGCCGCCGGCCCAGGCCTGCAGGGCCGCGGCCACCTCGCTCCGCACCGCCTCCCGCAGGCACGCGCCCGCCGCGAGCTCGCCCAGCTCCGCGCGCACGGCCGCGCGCACGGCCGCGAGGAGCGGGCCCGGCGCGTCCGCCTCGGGCGGCGCCCGGTCGCCGTGCAGCGCGGCCTGCGCGCTGGCAGGCGCCGCCCCGATCTTGTTGCGCTTGCCCCTGGGCATCGAGCTCCGCGGGCTGTTCTCCGCAGGCGGCGCTGCCTGGAGCGCCGACGGCCCATCCACGACCATTTTCGGCGGGATCGGAGCCGCCGAGCCGGAAGCTCTGGAGGGGGGAGCCCTGCGTGTCCGGTCTCGGCCCTGGCCAGAGTCTCGGGGAGGGCAGGGCACAGCTTGGGCCGAAATGGTCGCGGAAGGAGGAAGAGAGCCGGCCTTGGGGAAGGGGTCGGGGATTCCGAGGTCCCCGCATGGAACAAAACATACTTTGGATCACTGGGAGCGCCACAAGACATCGCCCAAGCGCCACCCCCTCGGCATTGATTCCCCCCCTGTGAGCTGCTGCTTGTCTCCATCTCAGGGAGTCCAGCGGATCCGCCATCGTGCCGCGAGGCACTGGGTGTAGTGTCCTCAGGTCCCTCCGAGTACCCGGTAGCAGGCACTGCAAATACTCTTGTAGGACCCCACGCACTAGACTCCTGGAACTCGTCGACGCTCCCAGGCGCCCTCGGGGTTGGGGGCGTGGCTGTTCCCGAGGCCAAGGGGGCGCCGTGGGGACCCTACACTTCCAGAGTGTCCCAGCATGGCCCGCGCTTTCTGGGGCGTTCTGGGGAGCCTTTGGGGACGACTTGAAGGCCGGGGGCTGCCCCAAGAGGCCAAAACCATTGAAAAACGAGCAAAGCCTGCTTTTTCTACACAAGAACGTTCGAGACGGCCAAAGGAGAAAGAGGCCCACAAGAGGCCCCCAAGGGGATTCAAGAGGGGAACTCGAAGTGTGCTCGGGAGCCCTCCACCCCAAGATGGCCCCCGAGACCGCAAGCAGGTCTCCAAGAGGCTCCACGAGGGCCCCCAAAGGGTCCAAGAGGCATCTGGGGAGCCGTCAATAGGCCTCCAAGAGATCAGATGTCCCCAACGGGCTCCAAGGAAGCATCCAAGAGACCCCCGAGATGTCTCTCAAGAGAGAGGCCTCTTGCCGCCACGACCCAGGCACGGCGGCGGGGTTGGCCGAAAGTCACCAAATGAAGGTCTCCCGCTTGTGATTGGCAGGCCCCCCGTGTCACTTCGCGAGCCCCTCGCAGGCTGAAGGTCACAGCTTCATGTCTGCCTGCCCTCTGGGGAGCCAGCCCCGTGGTGCGAACACTTCTTCGCCTAACCACCCACCCCATCGTTGGATGCGTTCTGGGGACCTTCCTGGAGCCACTCGCTCCACTCGTGCGTCGAAGCTGCGTCGAACGGCAGTCGATTTGGGTCGACCCTGAGTCGAACCTGAGTCGAACCTGAGTCGAACCTGGGTCGAACCTGAGTCGAACTTGAGTCGAACTGGGGTCGAACAGATCCGTCAGGTGGGCTCCAGGAAGGTCCCCGAAAAGAGCATCGAACCATCGGGCATCCCACGCAAGCCGCCAAACTCCTGGAGCAAGAGGCAACAAGTCGCCGATGCACGGCCAGCCGATCCCGTGCCGCGACCCCTGCCCGAGACGCCCCCCCTGGCCCCCCTCCCCCCAGGGGGAAACCACCCCTCCATTTACGCCCTCCTTGCCTAGCCCCAAGCCCAGCCCCTCATGGACCACCGCCTCGTCGTCCTCCCATCCTTATTGCTGGTGTTCCTGTAAGCTTCCCTCGAGGCTTGGGGCCACCGCGCGCCTACGAAGTGTGGCCTGCCTGTGACATGTAGCCCCCACGTCTCGGGAGCGGCCAAGAGGGGGGTGTCCAAGAGGGGGGGTGCAAATCATGACCGGCGGCATGTGCGCGGCCCAGCGGGGGGGCCAGGGACGTAATGAAATAAGAAGAAATAAGAAGAGGCGCCATGAAATCTGGGGAAATATCATGGCCCCCGCCATGATATCCACCCCCCCCTAGTCATCACCCCCCCCTTTTCCGCCCCCACGTCCCGGGGCAGGACGTCAGGGGGCGGTAAAGTCCGGGGTAGAGAAGCAGCCGCAGCTGGCCTTCCCGCGCCGGAGGCGCCCCGGCTATGTCTCGGAGAGCGCCCGACGGCGGAGCAGAAGCCGCTCCCGCGCAGCAGATTCCAGGCCCCCCTTCTTTCCCGACCCCCCCCCCCCCCAGGCCCCGTGGCAGAAAAAACAAGAAAGAAGCAAGGGTTAAGTCGGGCCTGTCCCCCTACACGGGGGTTTTTCGACGAAAAGTTAGAAATACAGAGAAGGCCAAAAAATGCCCAGAAGATAGTCCCCAGACAGTTGTTTGGCTATTGTTTGACTCTTGTTGGGGAATTTTTGCATTTTTCGTCGAAAGTGCCCCTGTCGGGGGACAGGCCCGACTTGCAGCAAGGAGCGAGAAGCATACAGACGGGAGAAACCACAAAAAAAACACTCTCAGAGGTCTGGGCGGACGCCTCGGATCGACGATGGACGCTCTTCGCTGGCGCGCGCGGAGCTCGCCCGGGGGCGGCGCCAAGGGCGCCGCTGGGGGAAACGGGCGACGACCCTGGCGATGCGGCGTACGGACCCGCGAAAATGCTTAAGAAATCATGGGTTAAGAAATTCATAGTCTCAGAACTTGAATAAAAACCCAACATTAAAAATTTTAAGATCTACATTGAAACGTTAAGAATAATCGAGACTCTGGCCGAAAACGTAAGTTTTCTTAAGCATCGCCTAAGGTGTACGCACCCGCGAAAATGCATGCGTATTGAAACTGTTTAGAAATCATGTGTGCTTATCACTGGTTGAAACTGGGCGGGGGCACGCCTTCTCGAGGGCGAGGCCCTCCGACCTCCTGAGAAGCCCCCCCTGTGGCTTCGGAGAGGCCTCGGAAAGCTTGTCAGCAGATTGGAGGCCTGCTGAGCCTCCCGAGCCTTCCCAGAAGGCCAGCCCCCTCTCGGACGCCAGGCGGC